AAAAAAAAAAAAAAAAAAAAAAAAAAAAAAAAAAAAAAAAAAAAAAAAAACTCATCAGAGTAAAAACCGAGCGTCATCCCCCTGTCGACGGGGGAAAAAGGCAAAATTCATCCACGTAAGCGCGCTGTAGTGTTTCCTTTACCGCCCCAAAGTGTGTATACGTGAACGTGTGCAGCGTCTCAAGAGGAAATGAGAGGAGAAAATAGGTCAACCGATTGTTCCCGCATATCCAACAATGTGCGCAGGTGTCGTGTGGTGTACAGGATAAGGCGACTGATCGCCGGGAAAAATAAATATTATTACCATGAACCAAGAGAATATTACACACCAATTAACAGATGGCGAGGGAAAGGAAATGGAGGCTTCTCTAGAGATCACACCTTGTTAAAGTTTCCAGGTAATTTTGCAATCAAAATCGCGCCCTCGACATGCTCTTACTTGTGCTTTTTACAGGATGCGTATACGAGGAACGCGAGAGAACGCACAAATTAGTTTTGTACGCGGAACTCGGAGGAGTTGCAACCGTATACGTATACTTTGCACCCAGGACATTGTTTTCATATACATGTACACACACACACACCTGTAAAATAAGTGGTTTATACAAGTGCACTTTTTTTCCTTTTTTTTTTTTTTAATTTTCCTAGTAACGCGTGCTAAAGATGCTTCGGCATAAGTATAGGTATACAACCGAGCTACATTAGCGCAACTTGACTTTTGATTGTGAAAAAAGGATCAAAGTATCTTTGTCATCAACAAAAACGTTTTGTATGAAGTACAAAGGGCTTGGAAAAAAGATAGCGAATGAAATCAGTCAAGAATAATTTTTTTTATCTTTACAAATAGCTGGTGGGTGTACCCATGCAATAGAAGGCTTGATTAATTTTTCAAAAAAACAAAAACAAACAAAAAAAAGTCATTTGGAGAACCGGTTCGAAGTAATTAATTATTTGGAGTAGCTCGCAAGCGTTGCGAAGGGAGAGTATTTTATAAATTAAACACCATATGATTCCGGAAAAGCTTTAATAGATATATACGGGTGCGATGAATATCGTATTTTATTCAAAATTACCTCCTTTCGATGGATGAAATTTTTAATTTATTTTTTTATAGAGTAAACGAGGAAGATACCCATACAAATCGTTATATAAATACAAAGACAAGGTATAAACAAAACGTATGTAAACTAAAGTTTGTTTCAATCGATGTATTTTTTCTTTTAAATTTCATGTCGCATAATATGCGTATTATTATGTATATTATTATTTCAATGTGCTGCATTAATTTGTCCCTCACACAAATGAGATAAAAAAAGAAACGAATTAGACAAACGAGTACAATCACAGAAATGCCATGACCCTTTATGCTCCCTTTCCCCGGGGTCCTCAATACATTTAATTTCCTCCCAAGGCGAAGCTTAATCTCGGCACTTTGAGGCACTTTGCGCTCAAGCTCGACACTCCATTTCCGAAAACTCCGGCTGATGGCACGCGCAAAAGGAAGGAAAAGCTGCAGCTCGTCTATTCGCAGTTTACCCCGTGAAGGTCGCGCAATCAGGAATTCATGAAATTCCGGGCTTCTTATAATCACCCCCGTCGGGCACTCGCGTTAAATCCATCCGTTGGGAGGCTCTTGGTTAAGGACGTTCGGTAGAGATAGCGGTGTGGAACCACTTGCGGGGCAAGGGAGAAGTAGCGATGAGTGAAGACTTGGCATCGCCGCAGGGGTCTCCAATGTGTGAGTGGTCATGTACACACATATATACACACATCAGTGCTGCGTTGGTTACGGCAGCGCATGTGTATATTTGTAATGTATTTGTGCTAAAGATGTAAGTATTTGATTTTTATTCGTTATAACAATGTAATAAAAATGAGTAAATAATCAAAAAGACTTGTGACAGATATGTGTACATACAATTATATTCGTAGCTAATGTAAATAAAATTCTTGAATTTTTATGTGACTTGAAAAGTTTCATTGAAAGTGATATGTTAAATAATTAGGACAGACTCTAGTCTCTGCGATTACTACAAGCATGTGATTTTGTTATCTTGTGTAAAAATTACTAACTAAAAACTTTGTTAAGAAAAATAAATACGTGTTATTATAACACATTGTTTTGTTATGGGTACGGGTGGAACCTATGTACATACCCTCACACACATATACAAGCTTATGTTTTATACAGAAATACATAAATATCTACCATAATATTCAAATATTTACTGAAATGTACGTCCTGGAACATTTTGAATTTCCCGCTTCTTGCGACGTTGCCGTTGCGTTTTTGTCGAACTATTATTTACTTTTTTTTTATAAACTAATCAGACGATCGTCGCGAAACTTTGTGTACATATGGTTAATAACATTATCTGTGACATGTAAAAAAATTGGAGACATTCATCACGCCAATTTTTTTAAAACTGAGTTCTTATAAGTTTCCCCATAAGCGACCGTGTTAAAATGACTGAACTTTGAAATTCAATATCTCAGAAACGAAACAGACCAACCTCTTGAAATTTTAACAGCTTTATTGTAACAACAATAAGAACGTCTGGTTAAAATTTCAAAAAGATTCATCACAGGGTTCTATCTCTACCGAACGTCCTTAATGTCACACAATGGCGCCCTTTTATATTATTATTAATTTCGTGGCATTATTGCCACGAGGGACTGTCGATTTTACCGATTGAATATACATTCCCATCGATCCCGAGTCGAGAAATGTGTAGACGCACTACGTATATCGTTCGTGAAAAATTCAGTCTCCTGATTCAATAACGGGAGATGGGTACATTGAATTTCAAATGGTCCCCCGAAGTC